ATTTTGGTCATTCAAATGGGTTTTCTTTGAGCAGCGCTTCGTCCATTGCTTTGGTGTGGTCAAACATTGAGAAACATCACTTCTCCACCATCACAAACATACCCAAACAAAGTTTAGCAAAATATTTATTTAATAATAAATAAGAGGGCGCCACAAGATCTAACGATCTAACCAATCGCTGATTTGTAGTAATACCAAATGTAGAACCAATGCCAAACGCTTTGAATAATGCGATTTCATGGGTAAAAAGATCTTCAGCCCTTCAGAAGCCAATAAAGATAAGGTATGCCAGGTTAGGTTTGCCTAGATGGTTTTATAATTTAACGGGTCTAACTTGTAAATTGACTAGGACCAAACTGTGATTTTTTACCTTTACTTTGGTTTTCCTTATTAAAAAAAAATAGTTTGGGTACAGGTTTTTGAGAAAACTGTATATATATTATAGCTTTACACTAGAAATACCTTCAGTGATTTTCCAGTTTTAAAGGCCTAACACTTCATCTAAAAAGCGAAATAAAGAAAAAGTTTCCATCCATACTAGGGAAACTGGTTTTTAATATTTGTTTGGGTTGTCCAGGTATAACGGTAGTACCTATACTATGTCTTAAGGATATTTCATATAATTATGGAACTAATTGGACTATATTTAGAAATATAGTCTTAGAATATATTTTACAACCATTTGCTGTAACCGATTTTTTGATCTGTTATTAATATTTATATTGCGCATAGGTGTTCGTTTATTATTTCTAAGTACGTTCGGTTTTTTTTCCCAATAATTTTAACTTAAGTCGTTACACATTTTAAAACGTTAAAGAGAGCGGGACACTTGTGTACATAAAAAAATTATATCTACATCACGACTTTCCAACACCTAACAAATTTACCATCTTCAAATTACTGCGTTCTATACATTTTTAAAAAATTCATAAAACCAAATATTTGATTAAATTTTTAATAAAAGAACATGAAGAAATGGCAATATAGGTAAACTAATTTTAACATGGCCCGTGTATGTAATATGTACACATTTTTTTAAAATAAAAAATGTAATATAATATTTTGTTTTATGAATATAACTTGTACCTAGCCATTTGCCTTGGTAGCACTATCGCCACTATTACATATACTTAGTAAAAACTAATACAGACAAATATATTGTGTTCGTCGATATTATCGCTTAATAAAAATATACATTTGTTTAAATTAAAAAAAATTAAAAAAAAAAAAAAGAATCGGATTGTTGTGAAACCGTGGGTACAAAATAACAGTCCAATATAAACTCTAGAGAGTACCTTGTTAATCTGCATTAAAAAATTACATATCATATGTATAATAATTTTAAAGCTGGAGATATTTGGAGGGTTGAAGAAATTTAGATTTGAACTTATAGTGGGATAGGGTTTTTCCATTCCAACGCTTCAAAATGCGCGTTCAAACCTTTTTAGGACAAAAGCAAAATTATAAAACCCAGTAGGTACAGTGGTGAAGGAACATAGTGAGTGGGGGGGGGAGGTGGATCACAGGCCAGAAGAATTATTACAAGTTGAAAAATATGTAAATTTACATAGAGTGTTTTTGTCGATTTCGAAAATCAAGGAGTAGGTACCAATTTTTTTTGTTTACACAAGTTTAAATTATTAAAAAAAAAAACTAACGGCACGTGGTCACCGGTAATAAACGAACACGTATGCATTATACAGGGTGATCCAACAATAATTTTTTATTGGTTAAAAATTGCAAAAAAAAAAAAATCTAGTTAAAATTTGTAAATTTAAAAAAAAACATTAAATGATTTTTGTAAGAAACTCGGTTTTAAAAAATGCCGTTTATTCGAAAAAATTGTTTATACAGGTAATCTATTTGATATAAGACACTCATTTTCTCAGATAATATGGATATTTTATTCTATTGTTTTCCTATACTCGTAGGTGCATATATTTTACTATATTTTCAATACTTTGAAAACTTTTGCCTCCACCGTTTATGCGTAAAAAGTATGGATTTCGTTTTTATTTCAAATGGGAACTTATGTTTTTAATTCCATACACATATGAAGACAAAAAAATTAAAATATTGTTAGGGTTTCAATTTTTAACTAACATCAATCTCGCTGTTTGTCATGGTATTGTAAAGATCAATATTCAATCAGGCTTTACAACAATAGCACAGCAGTTTCACATTAAATAACATTAATGATAATATTTCTTTGCTATGGAAGTAAATTCCAATTGCAAAATTTTATTTTTTTCATACATATATACAAATTATCAGTAATTTAAATATAACAATAATAATAATAACAACAACAACAATTAATAAATAGCAACATTATATAATCAGATAGAGGAGCTCTTTAAAAAGAACTCCGATAGCATAACAATGTGATAAAATTATATGTTTTACTATATTTTTTAATACTTTGAAATTTTTCGCCTTCACCGCTTGTACGTAAACCAAGTATGGATATCACTTTCAGTTGTAATAAAATCTGTAGACCTGTGACCTCTCCTTCCCCACCATACCCCGACCCAACTGTACTGACTTATTTTAATCCCGTTAAAATGTAGACAAAATTTTTTGAAATGTTTTGAAATTTTAGCCATTGTTTTTAACAATATTTCAACATTTTTGTCTGTATATCGAATTGTATGGAATTAAAAACATATGTTTCCATGTAAAAAAAACGAGATCCATACTTGTTTAGCGTATAAGCGATGAAGTCGAAAATGTTCAAAGTATTGAAAAATATAGTAAAATATGTGCCTACAAGTATAGGAATAAAATTATTTTCAATTATTTTATCAATAAAGTAGTGATTGTAGGTGGTTTTAATACAAAGCCACATTAAATATATTATTTTTTTTGTACTTTTTTTTTTCAGAATACAATCTGCTTTTGAAACTTAAATTGGGCAATTTAGTGAAATTTTGTAATAAAAGTCGAACAGCATATAATTTCGACAACACTCTTTTTTCGATACATCTGCGATGGCTGACAAAACAAATAAAAAAATATGCGTCACGGCACCTTACCATGCTACAAAATATATTTACCGGGCGAATAGTGAAAAATTTAGTACCTACATTTTCGTATGTAACTTAATAAAAATGGTACTATTTGTAATAGGTCTAACGGTCTCCCGGCCTAGCTACATGCAACTCAATTTAATCTCAAAACTGCCCCTTTCGGGCCACCAGACAAAGAAGCACCAACGTTGATACCAATTTTTTTTAATCTGTTAGCTTAGTAGTGTTCAACTACTATTACTCGTATCTACTATAAATTGTATTATATGTTATCTCATTACCATTACTGTATATACTATATATTTCATGTAACGACAACCCATGCGATTAGGAGAAAAGTAAGTTGTACCATAGTAAATAATTTCAAAATGATCTATAGTGTAATTGTGTAGATAAAAAAAAATAAACAAGCCTATAATGTAGGTAATACTATATGAGAAGTTTATTCGACAAAGGGAATAAGTGAAAAATTCAAAAAAGATGGTATAACACGAAAAACTGTTTTCTAAATAGCCATCAGCGGTTCTGATTTGTTGAACTGTTGTATTATATAACTTGACCGTCCCCAGAAAATATTTTAGATAATCGACTGTATAAAGCTATAAATGCAGAATATTGTTGTCTCGATTTAACAAGAATAAAATATTATTTTCGTTGATCTTATCACCCGTGTATTGTTTGTGATTAGTTTGCACTAATTTTTGGTATAGATTTGTTAATGAGTTTGCTCAACGCTTTAGAGACTGCAATATTGCTATTGTCTTAACTTATTTTTATTATTTGAACACAATATCCTTTAAACCGCTGAACCGATTTCTTCGTGTAGTAACTCTTTAGATCAACAAATCGTTAATAAAACGTACCGCCCTGTGGCAAAAATTAAAAAAAATCACAATGATGTGTTTTTATTTTTAGTCGAATTAGTTCCAAATTTGTATGGAACATTTTTAAAACATAGTACTACCAATTAATATTGACAATCCTAAAAAACATCATCATAAATCCTTTCCCTTAGAAGTGATAAGTTTTTCTTATCTTTATTTCACTTTTTCAATTGAATTTTTAGCGATTTAGGTATGGAAATTAGACCTAAGGTAGATCTAGAATTGAACATATTACACAATTGTCTCAAAAATCTGTAGTCAATCTTTTTTTTATTAAGGAAAACTAAAAAAAAAAAAAATGGAAAAAATTACACTTCGACCGTAGTCAAATTCTAGGATGCTATGTGTGATTGAGTCAATAGTCAACAAGCATTTGAAATTGTTTTCATTAAATAAGTTAGTGGACCGGAGTAATAATAATTGAACGATAACGTTTAGTATGATAACATACAACATAATCATAAATATCACACAATGGGGGGCGTACAAGGAATATTAAATAAATAAATAACTGCTGTTACATATTTAAAAAAAAAAAGTGTTTTTTTTTCTACGGAGGTATAGTCTATTATATTTTTAATAAAGTTATAGTTGATTCGACTAATCTTAGGTAATATTAACAATTATTAGTAGATAATATTATTTTTATATGTAGAATAGTGTTAAATGTTATCGAATTTTAAACCTTAATATTCAATAAATGGGCTTTATAGAATAGTAGTGTGACCAAAACCAAACAAAATTTTATTTTATTTTTTTGCTCAGACTTGTTAAAACTTTTTTTTCAAAACGCGTTTTTTTGTCACACGTTTATAAGAAAAAACCGTGTGTAATCCCAAACAGTTAAAATTTTGGTGTGGCCACATCTGTGTATACAAATTATACAATGGTAATTTTTTTCCCACCTTTCTCTAAAGGCACTCTAATATAGTTGCAAATTTTTAATTATTTGAATTGTACAAGAAGGAAGGTAAACAACTAACAAACATAAATCAACGGCAATGCAAAGCAATTAGTTTTTACAGGCATTTAAAAACGTTAAAGGTTGAGCCGACGATTAAAAACGTTTTAGTGTTTCTTCAGTTATAGCAAGTATCGCACGTCACTAAACCAATAACACTATGCACAGTCATTTCAGTGTCATTTTGTTGTGTCTTTCTGGCGTTTATGGCATATCGTCTACGTTCGACAATATAAAATGGGAAGACCTTAAGCAAATTATAAACGGCCAATCCAGCATTAAGGAATGGGAAACAGCTATGGAGCAAGATTTAATTTACAAACATGGCAACGATTCACAAGGTTTTTACAAAGTTAAAGAGGCTGTGAATGACTATGCAAAAATAGTGCGAGCTGACGACAGTGCTCTAAATACATTCGAAACGCTCCGCGACATAATCAAAACAGCTTATCAATGCACGTTAGCGAAGTACGCAAGTCTTGCCACTTTCTTGTTATTACAGGACTTTTGGCAAATCAGATCAAGGACACTCTATACCTTAGATTTTGTAAAACAACATCCATCCTCTCGATGGGTTGGACCAGAAAAAAGAGATATAATGTATAGAGGATATTTTCACAAATTTAGCCACGGGAAATATCACTTGGACTACGACGTTAACGTCGAGGAAGAGCCATTTCAGCTATTCACCAAGCACGATTTAAGCACTAAAAAATCGCAGGAAATCCACAATATTTTGGCGGCCATGATCGGCAAGACGCTCGGTGTGAATATCAAGCACAACATCTATCCGGATGTGATAAAAGCGACGTTTAGAAACCAATATAGGAGAGAACGTATAGATCTTCTCAACAAATTCATTTGTGTTCTCAACGAGTCGATTATACTGCTCGACAATTTCATCGTAGACAAGTGCGTACAACACGAGGGAAATTTTGTGAAGAATTTCGAATCTCTAAAAACAGGCCTCGACGGAGATTTAATGTGGCTTCTAGCGCAATTCGATGAACTGAAGGCCAGACGTGCTGTGAAGTTGTACCATGATTTTACAAACCCGATCCCGCCAAATGATAGCCCAGTGAAGGCTTCGGGCTGCTTCGTAAAGAATTTGGAAATCAACGTTGCTGGTTATAAATGGGATTTGCCAAATACTACCAACCCGACGGCAATTTATGGCCAAACCGCAAACCGGTATGACATTGAACATTATTGCACGCTAGTATAATATGGGATACCTAACTTGTTATCGATCCTTATCGTTAAAATGCATTAAAAAATTAAGAGAGTATAGCTAAATAATAGAGACTACAAGTGCAAAAGCGAGATAGTTGCATTTGGACACGTTATTATACTAATAGTCTCTAGGAGTGATCGATCTAAGACCAGAGTTGGACATTATTTAGAACGTTTTATATCTAAAAAAAAATATTAAATTTTATTTTTATTTTTTGAATGTCCGTCGAAAAATAAATGACTGAACACAAATTTGCTCATTTAAATAATTCGTTGAAAACAAAATGATGAAATTAATTTATTTGGTTAAATTATTTATTTTTGACATAATTAAAAAAACTTCATTGTTGTTTTATAAATCATCTTAATTTATGGAATAAATAAAATTATTTGGATAATTTATCTTCGGTTTGGTCGAATGAAAAATATTATTCGATTAAATCGTCTTAGATTTGAACAAAGCTTAGACTTTATCACATGACTAAATTAATCGAGTCGATTGCTCATTACTCATGAGCTGTGCATATTTTATTATAAGTTTTGTTAAATTTGCTGCACCTCCAAATTTGTTCTTCTCCTGTACAATCTATATTTTTAAATTGGACCAAATAGTGATTTTTTCGAAACATGAATTCAAGTGTTAGATATTTTTCGTTGGAGACATTTAAGTTACTATTATTTCAAAGAATTAGACTATCAAATTCGTATATTTTAATTTTATACATTTTAAGAGACCTACTATGATAACGAATTTATTATTATTGTGTTTTAGACAATCCGAAACTAAATACAAAATTGTAGAAACCGCCAAGGAGCCGCAAAGCGAGGTAAGTATAGCTATGGTGTCGATTCGCGATCCAAGAACTACGGATATAGATCATCCTCAACCAAGAACTATGGGTCCAGTTGATGATTTTCCAGGAATTTTGGATACACATCATTCTTTTCCAGGAACTACGAGTACAGAACAACCCAGCAGTTCTGTAAGTATAATGAATTGATATTAAGCAGCACTGTATCAGAACGACCACGTTCTATTTACACAGAATGAAAATGATAAAGTACTACCTAGTAACCGCTAAGGACGTGCATTTTTAAGTTGTCTATCAACAAACGCAATTACTCTGCTAAAGGAAATTTGAATAGTAAAATATCCGTATGAATTTTACCAGAAACCAACGAAACTTATATTCACTTTTAACATTTGTTATATATTTTTTTTTCAGCGTGGCTAAGACGATTACATAAATAATTGTACAATAATGTAACAAGGTATGCAACCTATTATTTATTTTTCTTAATATCTGTTCAAAACAACCTTATCAATAGTTATTGGCTAACGGTATGTCTTATCAAATTTGGACGCTTTAAACCAATTAAAATATACCTTACTTACTCTGATCTACTTTTACTAGCTTCTTAAAAGTTTAACGTTTTCTTAAATTAGTTTTCATAAATTTGCTTAGTAGAAACATGTTCAAATATTTTATTACCTTTTCAAGAACAACCAAAAACCAAATTCATATCCATTTTTAATATTTTTTGTACGTTTTTTTCAGGACTCCAAAAAACCAACACTGTGAAAAGGGTTCTTATATCAAAATCTTACATTGACGTGTCATTTATCGAATCTAAAATGTATTACAGAAATTATCGCACAATATATTTACTATTCAACTTATGAGATTTTGTTTTTTTTCTTAAATAATAATTCCAAAATAACCTTAAAAGTGGTCTTCTGTAACAGCACAGTTGCAAATAAAAAGATGTTTTACTGAGTTTAGACCCGTTAAATATTAAAACAATCAAAACAACCCTAACTCGGCGAACCCTAACTTTGTTGGCTCCTTAAAACTAGATCTTTTTATCAATGAATTTCTATTATTTAAACCGTTTTAAAATGTATTACTACGCCCAAATCAGCAAATGGTTGAGTTAAAATTTACGAGGTTTGGATAATGAGGAGTTTTTATTTTTCACTTTTGTGTCTGGGCCCATCTCTATAGTTTAGAAATTGTACCTGATAGATACTAAACCAAAAGTTTAAACAATTCTCCCCTTACCCATCAAAATTTGAGAAAATCCTCTAAAAAAATTAATTTTTTAATCAAATTAAAAAAACGAATGTCTAAAACTTTTTTTAAAATAAACAGTCGAACTAGTTCCATTTTTGTATGACTATTCTTTAAACATAGTACTAACAGATGACCTGTCATAAAAACAAAAAACTGTGATATTTTAAACAAACTAAGAATTTTAATTGCAGTTTTACTTCGAATTGTTTTCCCCTGGGTTCCGACCTTTCTGAGCTGTGTTTTAATTTTAAATCATAAATACTAAAATATAAATAGACCTATATACAATCATATATAATAAGGCAGAAAATTAGCAACATGCTAGAATTTTTATAAGTATGTAAGTACCTTGAGCTCTAAAACGACGTAAAAAAAGGTTATTGTCTTAAAAATATGTGATTGTTTTTATATATGAGGCACTCAGAAGCCAAACTGATTAACTCCATAAAATGACATTTTTCAGGACAGGCAGTTAAAGTTATTTGAAACAATATATGTAAGTGCATTTGCCAATGTACTTAGTGCACTCGAGTGGTGAAAAATTAAGCTATGGAGCTATTTATCTTGGCCGCTGAAAATTATAAACATTTATAATGCATTTTTATGAGTTCATAAAAAATGTGTTGATAATACCCCTTGTTTGAACAATTAAATCTAATTAGATTTAAAAAATGCAATTGATCACCGATTATTTGAATAAAAACCAACCGTCAGTTGTTCCCACACGTTAGCCAAACTCAATAAACACAAAATTACAATTAAAAACGCGATATCTATATATATATATATATATAACGTTCAGCGTTCGCACAGATTTTCCAATTGACCCCCTGCCCAATGACATATCCATGTTAAAAAAATTAGGGGCCTCATTTTAGGTCAAGACGAGCCACAGATCAACGGAGTCTCACAAAAGCCTGTTATATATATATATATATAAAGTATATATTATATACAAGAAGATACATTAATGATAATACGCTTATTTTTTTTTTTTTGACATTTTCATGTCTTAGCTCTGGCACATAACCGAAAAAAGCGTTACCACACGGAGATGAGGTGAGGGGTGGGAACGGGGTTGCGGTTGGGGGTGAGAATTAGCCGGTACATAACCGAAAAAACGTGTTACGCTGTTATCTGGTATGAGATAAGATAAGATATGTTGTACGTTCATAATAGAAATGAATAATACATTTAAAACAGTTTAATTCTCTACGTTAAGTTACTTTTGGCCAGATAACAAACACTACAATTTTAACCAGAAACTTGATTTTACATACATTTTTAATCTCCTTGGCTTGTGCTGTAACTGGAAGTTCCATGTAACTTTTTTATTTTTAACTAATAATTCCACAACTAATCTAAATTTATTCGGTACTTCAACTAGATATGAAAATGCTCTATCGTGGTTGCAGACTCGGCTGAAAAATGGCTGATTTTTTTGAAAACATTTTTTTACACAAACTGCTTTGTCTCCAATCACCAAAACTACAAGAATTCCAGGTTTTAGTAGCAAATTTTAAGGTACTTGTATATTATTTTAAGGCGTATGTTTTACAACGATAAATTATTTTGTTTTCATCATAGTTGAGCAAAAAGTAGTCAAAGTAAACCAACGTAGCCAAATAACGGCCGAAAACGTTTAGTATTTTTTCTGGGGGTCTAAAAAAAGTTGGACTTTTTAAATTTAAATGCAAACTTATACGCTTGATTTTCTTTTTAAATAAAAAATATTTTGCCGAAAATACAGAGAAATCTTTAGCATTTGTTATTTTGATTATTTTTTTTATGCTCACTACTAAAAGTACCTAACGACAATTATGTAACAAAATAACTTTATCAACGGTTGTCTGTTAAAACGGCACAGGTGCAAATAAAAGGATATCTTGTAGAGGTTAGATCTTTTTATCATTGAAATTGTATGAAGCATTTGGCTTTGATTTTAAGCCGTTTAGTAGTGTATTACTTTACTCCAATCAGCGATTGGTTAGAGTGTTACACTTTGTCGAGCCAACTTATTTATTACAAAAGAAATAATTTTTAGATCTAAATCTCTAAAATTTTGCTTGACAAAGTGAAATAAAGAAAAAAATTCTATCCCTTCTAAAGGAAAGGGTTAATGATATTTTTTTGGTTTGTTAACGTTTATCGATAGTACTATGTTTGAAGAACAATTCAAATAAATGTGGAACATTTTCAACTTTTTTTAAAAAAGTTAAAGAGCATCGTAATTTTAAGTTGAAAAATGTATACATTTTTTAGGTGTTTTTCTCGAATTTAATGAGGAAGAGGTGACTTTTTTAAATTTTTGGCCTTTTAAAGTACCTTTCAGGTATGATTTTTGATCTAAAGAGTTGCTACACGAAGAAATCGGTTCAGCGGTTTACGAGATACCGTGGGTCCAGACACAAAAAAAAAAATAAATAAAAACACATCATTGTAAGAACAATACCTTCTCAGCTCACCATCGAAACTATAACGTTACAGACGAATGGACGTTTTTAAGAATACTCTAAGTCTGTTGGTACGGAGATATTAGATTCGACAAGGAGCTGAGAGGCTCTTGTTTTTACAATTATGTGTATATTATTAATTAATTTTGACATTTTCTCTACATAGCGGATAGCTAAAACTAAATCCATATTCATAAAATGCTGACTTAGGAGAAATCTATTATATGTGCAAATTTCATTCACTGAACATGTACACAAAGAAATGTAAACAACTAAAGAACATACACCGACGGTTATGCTAACACCGTTTACCTGCATGGATTTTCCGAAGAAGTTACAGGCTGAACCGAGGGTCATAAACGTTTTAGTGTTTCTTGAGCTATAGCAAGTATCTAACGTCACTAAAATATTAACAATATGTTCAGTCGTTTTAGTGTCATTTTGTTATGTCTTTTCGGCGTTTATTGCAGATCGTCTACGTTTGACAATTTGAATTGGTTTGAACTAAAAAAAATGTTGAACGGCCAAACCCACATTAAGGAATTGGGCACAACTATGGACCAATACATCCTTAAAGAAAATGATGATGGCTCAAAAACCCCTTTTCACGTTGGGACCGCTGTGGAAGAATTTGCGCAAAAGGTGGAAGCTGACGTAAGAGCAATGGAAAAATTCGGATCGATCCGCGACACAATCAAAACAGCATATCAATGCACGTTAGCAAAATACACAAGTCTTACCAATTTCTTGATAGTACAGGAAATTTTGTTGGTCAAATCACTGACAAACGATGCTGTAACTTATGTAGGACTGTCAGGAGAACGAAATAAACAATTATTGTTTGGAAAAAAATTTTATGAATTCAGCAAGGGGAGATATCACTTGGACTTCGACGTTAATGTTGACGCAGATCAATTTAACATACTCACCAAACACGGTTATGGCACTAAAAAAAAGCAGGAAATCCACAATATATTTTTTGACATGATCAGAAAGAAGCTTAGTGTGAATATCAGACACAAAACCTATCCGGATGTGCTGATAACGAAACTTGCAAACCAACATGAACAAAACCGTGTCGAAACTCTCAACAAATTAATTTGTGTTCTCAACGAGTCGATTATGTTGCTCGACAATTTCATCGTAGACAAGTGCGTAGAACACGAGGGCAATTTTGTAAAGAATTTCAAATCCTTACAAAATGGCGTCACGGGAGATTTAATGTGGCTTCTACATTATTACGATGAACGGAAGGCCAGTGGCGCTGTTGAATTGTACAGGGATTTTACAAACTCGGTTCTGCCAGGAACTCACACAATAAGGGCTTCGGGCTGCTTCGTAGAAAATTTGGAAATCAAGGTTGCTGGATTACAATGGGATTTGCCAAACAATAATAAACCGACAATTTATGGCCAAACCGCATACCGGTATGATATCAAATAATATGACATAATATTATCAAATTTTTATTTTTGTATTTAATAAAAAAATTTAAGAGGCCCTATCATATATAACCTATTATTATTGTGTTTTAGACAAACCGAAACTAATTACAAAATTATACCAACCACCAATCCGTCGCCAGGCGGGAGCAATGTAGCTATGGTATTGTTTCGCGATCCAGAAACTTTGTTTGGAAGTATGGATCGATCCAGCAGTTCTGTAAGTATAAAGCATTGATATTAAATAGAACTGTAGCAGACGAGCACGTTCTATTAACACACAATGAGAATAATAAATTATAGTCAAAATGTCACTAATGTTGTTTAGGTTTCCAAAAAACATCACTATAATAAACAATCTCTTCTGTAGTATACAGAAATTGTATAATAGATAACTTAATCCACAAATTATAAATATAATCATAGACTATTCTACAATGATGTAACAAGGTATGCAACCTATTATTTATTTTTCACAATATATTGACATTTACATGTCTTAGCTTTGGCACATACCCGAAAAAAGCGAAACGAAAAAAGAAATGGGGTTGTTGGTGGGAATGGGGTTGGGGTTGAGTGTGGAAATGAGCTCTGGCACATGACCGAAAAAAG